AGAGCAGGTCTGCTTTTTAGCTCATCCCTGATTTATTTTATTCATGGGAGTACTAAAATGTGTAGGGGTCATAGTGCCTTGGGAAGGGGATAATGGGAGACAAATTTGATCCAAGGAAAGGGAGGATGGCTCTAATTCCTTTGACCAACACTCGTCCCTGAATTTTGACGGATTTTTTTATAATAATAATGATGGGTTTTTGGTATGTCAAGAGGTGAAGAAAAGTATTTAATCAGTTCTGCTTGTCCATAAGCACTAGGCAATTGAAACTAATCCTCCCTTTCTTTGCTGAATAACCCCCTGCAGGTTGAGTGCCCTCTCCATTAAGGTAATACGAACACTGGGGAAAGCAGGTGGCTAAATGTCATTTGAGGTATCTCTCTTGAGATTATTATCATTATCACAATCACAGCTAAGCGCTAAACCCACAGGTGCTCCTCAACTTACGACAGGGTTACGTTCTGACAAACCCATTGGAAAGTGAAAATATCTTAAGTCGAATATGAATATATACTAAATAAATAAGTAAACAAATAACTGCTGTCATGGAATATGTAAACGAACAAGTAATTACTGTAATTAAATACCAGAACTGAAAAGTAAATGAATGAATATAAGTTATGGACTTGCTGCCTTCATGCTGGATAATTATCTCAAATTTCATCTCCAAAGTAATTGCTTTTGCAACATCATAGTCAAAATATCATAAGTCGAACCATCCTAAGTCTAGAGCACCTGTATATTTGGTTTATATTGTGCCATATATCCTATTAATGTTATTATGGGGCAGTGACTGTGGTCGAGACAACTAGATGGTGACAATGGCAAATTGTAGCATACAGGTGTCAGATATGGTGGGTTCTGACTTTGTAGATGATGACAGACTAACTTTTATAGTTTAAAATAAGACACTGAATCTGATAGTTCTTGGTAAAGAAGAAAACAAATTGTTAGAAGAGATTGCTTAATGCCAAAAGATTAATTTGGGTATGGTTCTGAGACACTACTAGGTTCACACACTCCACTGCTAAGTCCTACTGGGTTCACTTACTCCCCTACTGGGTTCACACACACCCCTACTGGGTTCACACACCCCTACTGGGTTCACACACACCCCTACTGGGTTCACACACACCCCTACTGGGTTCACTTACTCCACTACTAGGTTCACTTACTCCACTACTAGGTTCACACACACACCCCTACTGGGTTCACACACACACCCCTACTGGGTTCACATACTCCCCTACTGGGTTCACTTACTCCCCTACTGGGTTCACTTACTCCACTACTTGATTCACACACTCCTCTGGGCTCACTTACTCCACTACTGGGTTCACATACTCCACTACTGGGTTCACTTACTCCACTACTGGGTTCACACACTCCACTACTGGGTTCACACACTCCACTACTGGGTTCACACACTCCACTACTGGGTTCACACACTCCACTACTGGGTTCACACACTCCACTACTGGGTTCACTTACTCCACTACTGGGTTCACTTACTCCACCACTGGGTTCACTTCAATACTGGGTTCACTTACTCCACTACTGGGTTCACTTACTCCACTACTGGGTTCACTTACTCCACTACTGGGTTCATACACGCTACCATTACGTTAAAGTCCAAGCTAAACGCTTGTTCTAGCTCGAATCTGTCGATGACAGTCAACAGTTAAATGAGAAACATAGCAAAAGGCAATAATTTATAGAATCTGCGACAGTCTAAAGCTCAGTGTCAAACAATTTGCAAAACACGCACCAGAATTTGCAACATTCTGTAATTTAACCAGTATAATCTGAGAAATTGTGACTTGGTGAATATAAAATAACCTGCAAGAATTTCCATGCTGAAAGTTTGACGTATAATTTGAAATAATTTGGTAGGATTTCCAGTTAAGAATGAAAAGTCACAATGCCATGGCTGGAACAATTAGCTAAAAACCCGCATTGAGGAAAGGAACTAACTTCGTGGTACTTTTCCAGTCACTCCCAGACCACTGTCAAGTAACCACTGAACTGAAGATGGTTCAGGACAGACTTGCTATATAATACTACGGGTTTAGCGCTCCCCCCATAATTATAATCAGTACAGCCCAAAACATGCCATGAAGGGACCCTTCTATGTGTGGGCTTTTGGTGAATTTCCAGTTAAAACTAGCAAAGGTAGAAATTTCTAGTCATTAATTATTGTTATTATACTGTATTCATATGGATGCTGTTGTTATCCCTACAAATTTAGTGATTTACAATTAATATATTCATAGAGAAGCGCTAAACCTGTGATCCCATTGCAATATGGACATGGGAGATTAGGTTCGATCTAAATGGAAGGTAGCTCAAATTCCTTGGATTAAGAGCCCTTAATAAAGATGTGCCCCCCCAAGGAAGAGCTCTCTAGTCAAATGTTTTGATGTGTCAAGCTTCACTTAAAGTAAAAGTTACCATAAGGTGACACCTTGATGCCAGTAAAGAGCTCTGGATCCAGAGAATTGGAGCTATCCTTCCCTTGGGTCAAATTGATTACCTCCCATTCCTCAAGCACCATACGTTTCCTGCTGGTTTAGCGCTCCTTAGTGAATATAATAATAGTGTAGCCATAGATCTGAGTGGTATATTATTTTTATGCACGAAGCACCAAACCCATAGGGGTCATATAGCCCTAAGGAATGAGAAGTAAACAGGTTTGATTCAAGGAAAGGCTATGACTTGTTCTCTGGATCAAGAGCCCTTCACCTCCAGGGATCAGAATATACTTCAGGCTTGTCATGTATGGCAACGTTAAACATACGGGTTTAGCACTGTATCGCTAATAATAATAAAATTTTGCTGGTGGGAAATCACTAAGTCATCTTACTACAAAATAAATTACTGAAAACCAAATTTGGCCTAAAAACCTAGCATCTCTCAGCATACATGGGTTATTTCCTCTTTTGTGTAAATCTGTTGTTAATTATGGCCAATGACATTGAACGAATTATGGATATGAATTGTGAAGTTGGCTCTATAATTTTACTTGCTTTTTGATGTGATCTGTGTAATGTGAACTGGTCACAACAGCAGCAAGTTAATAGCATAAATCTGATAAATATTAGGAATGTTGTAAGCATAAAGCAGTGAATAACCAATGGTTCAAGTGCTTGGTAAAAGAAAACTGTGCTGTCAAACTCACACCACACTGTGCTGACATTAATTCGTCAGGAGCACTGTAAAGATCACTGCAAGGCAGCAGTGGAGAAATCTAGCCAATGTGCATATCCAAATGTCCTTTAACAAATAAAATGCAGAGCATGAGATGAGAAACTGGCAATCAAAGGCTTGACAGATGTACAAGCAAGATAAATCTGAACAAGCAGTGGCCAGGGAGATGCTTAAGTAACAAGCTGAATCAAGGTCAGGCAAGAAGTGAGTATGCATGTAGTTGTGTGTGCTGCTTTACGAACATCAACACCCACTTACTATGATTCATGTTAGAGTTCTCAACGAACTCATGTCCATTCTGCTCTCTAGAGTCGTTAACGTAAATGGATGAACTTATTCAACTTGCACACCTGGGGCTTAGTTGTCCATGTAGCCACGCTACTTGAAATATATACCCAGTGCTGGCATCCCCAACAGCTAGAGTAGAGTTTTATACAGATGAACTGAATGTCCTACAGCCAGAGTAGGTTCTATACAAGTGAGTAGTCTCCATCTGGAGTAGGATCCTATACAGGAAAGTGGAGCATCCTGCAGCCAAAGTTCCTACACAAGCGAGTAGAGAATCCTACATATAAAGGTCCTACATGTAAGTGAAACATCCCTCAACCACAGTAAGGTCCTGCACATGTTAGTAAGGCCCAAGAATATGTATCACACTTCTGGCATGATGATGATTTACAGTATCAGATCTTGAAAAATGAACTATCAAGAAGCTGAACTCTTCCAAAGAATATGAAATATCTAGGCAGATGAATTATGTATTAAGATGAATTACCCAGAAACTGGGACGAGAAGAAGGATCAAATGATCTAAATAAAAAAAAATAGAATATACCTAATTATCTACAAAAGAGCCCTTCATCAGTACTGAGAAATATCCAATGTAGTATTATATATATATGACAGGATCTTTGAGAGGCATTTGAATCCCCTCAAGGAAGGTTCCATGTCTGAGGGGTTCTAGATCCAAGGAATTGGACCTACTGTTCCCTTGGATTGAACCTAAATGCCTCCCATTCTCCCAGGCACTGCATGACCCTTATGGGTTTAGTGCTTCCCCACGAATGTAGTGGTGGTAGTGATATTTAAATTTTGTCCATTCAAGGAATGGACAAAACTTAAATTTGCGATCTCCATTTTCCCTCCTTATGACTGTTAAAGCTGAGTTATCATAGACCAAAACCTTCAAATTAGTTTTATGGATCTTGAGACACTCTTGTATTGGCAAATGAAATACAAGACGAATGATATACCTTCAAGATCTCTGTACTAGTCAGGTATCTTTAAGACTGGAGAGGAGATACCTGGAGAGGGTTTTGGGGATCAATGCCCCCGTGGCCCGGTCTGTGACCTGGCCTCCTGGTCACATTTACAAAGTTACGGGTTTAGCACTTGACAGATAAGTCATTCAAGTTCCCGAGTATACAACACACACCTGAGAGTACATCATTCACTTAAGCATATCTACACTCCTGAGTATATGCACTGCATATTTACATGAGAACGTGTACAGTCCTTGTAACCAACCCAATAAACCTCTGTAGTTAAAGTGCACAAGACCCACCTGGTCTATAATACCTATGTCAATCACGGGTTTAAAACCTATTGCTACCCCCTTCCCTATCATTCATATGAGAGCAAGAGAAACCAAATACAATTCTTTCCGCATCTAGAAGAGAACCATGAAAGAAAGTAAGTCTTAGATCAAGCGCTTAGCATGGACGCTTCTATATATATAAAGGAGTGGTAAAGGGAATGGGTATCCTCTCTCACAGACATAAACAAAAATTTCACCTGCTGCTCGAAGCGAACCTGGTTGCGTGATGACAGGTGACCACCGGGTCTCACCTGCTGCTCCACCTGTTTCATGTATAAGTTAAAAGTGCCCTCGATGTAGCAGTAGGTCTCGACGTAGTCCTTGCTGAGGCCATCTTTCCCTTCTCCCTCACAGTGGATGGGGCTCAAGATTTGCTTGGCCGAGGTAACGATGGAGCCGGCCAGGAGTAACACCGGGGTGTACACAGTGATTAAGTTGAACACCAGCGATCGTGAGAACACTGTGGAACTACGCCGCGAGAAATGGTGCAGCGCAGAGAACTTGTGCCACATTCTGCAAGAAGAAAGCTAGTCTTAGTTGTGGCACAGTGGAGGAAAATGTTTAAGTATCATATGGGTCAACACTGGTCTATGAACATGTAAATTTTTCATGGATGGAAATTAAAGATGGAATATAAAGGATTTAGAGAATAATGCAAACTTTGGAGAGGTTAATGTTAAAGTGACATTTCAGTCTATCCCGAACCAACATCAAGGATGGACTGAAATGTCTAGTTTCATCCAGAGTGTGAGGGGATAATTATATATATATATATATATATATATATATATATATATATATATATATATATATATATATATATATATATATATATATAAATATAAATATATATATAAATATATATATAAATAAATAATATATATATATATATATATAAAATATATATATATATATATAAATATATATATATAATATATATATATATAAAATATATATATATATATAAATATATATATATATATATATATATATATATATATATATATATATATTATATATATATATAATTATATATATAATGCATATATTAATAAAAAATGGTAGGAAACTTGATTAAAGATCAGCCGTTTGATACAACTTCCCTCTATTACTGCATCAAGATAAAAGAAAATTACCCTCAACAAGCCTCAGTCACCAGCAATAAGCAGCAGCAGCAGATCAGTGTCTGCTCAACTAGCAGCAGAATTATCACAATCAGTCAAGTAATTCCGAGACTACAACATGACTACCTCAAGATGAAATCAGCACTATGACCCTTGTGATGAATGGTTTGAAAAACCTCAATCTTCAACTGTATGACCCTGTTGTTAGGTAAGACACATATGCAACAGTTAGGTATCTTTATTTCGAAACGTTTCGCCTACACAGTAGGCTTCTTCAGTAGAGTACAGAAAAGTTGATAGAAGCAGAAGAGACTTGAAGACGATGTAATCAGTCCATCACCTTTAAAGTTTTGAGGTGGTCAGTCCCTCAGTCTGTCAGACACTGCAACACAAGGGTATCTTGGTACAGACCTGCAGTCAACTTCGACAACCTCTACTAGTGAGAACGGCTGGATTTGAGAGGGACCTGACCTCCCAACATCTGCGTTCTTACCTCTAATAGTGACCTACGTCTCACCTCCTGGCGCTATATAAGGCTCCATCCTGTCACTTCAACTCCATACTGTTTCAGACTACGGAACAATGCTCTTCTCCAGACTGAGGGACTGACCACCTCAAAACTTTAAGGGTGATGGACTGATTACATCGACTTCAAGTCTCTTCTGCTTCTATCAACTTTTCTGTACTCGACTGAAGAAGCCTACTGTGTAGGCGAAACGTTTCGAAATAAAGATACCTAACTGTTGCATATGTGTCTTACCTAACAACCTGTCGGTATTTTATACCATTTTAATGTTCAAACTGTATGACCCTAATGGGTTTAGCGCTTGGCTATGATTATTATAATAATAAAGATCAAAGCACTTCATAAAAAACATTAGCCAACAATCATTCTCAGCACAAAATCTAAAGTGGATCGGCCCCTTAATTCTTTCTCCTTCTCCCTGTATGCTCGTATTATTTAATAGTTTCCCTCTCATTATCACTGTATGGTCAACAATGATTTTTGTTTGTATATATCCTGATGAGTGTGTCTTGAACTGAGAACTACAGTTCTCGGTGCAAGTATATCCACTATGTCGAAACAATGTTGAACTGCAAATAAAGCCAGTGGCTGCCTCGTCAGAACCAGTGGCCTTCCCGACGGACTGTGGATACAAGTCTTTTCGCCAAACCCGTCTGTGAAACTCATTTCTGTTTTAACCCTATGTAGGTACCCACCAAATTAATGGGGGAAACGTGGGATTAGTTTAGCTTGCGGTTAGGAGTGGGCCCAGACCCACACTAAGGTAAGTAGCACATATAAAGTAAGTTCGCTGGCATTGTTCCGGCCCGAGTCTTCTCTAGATTGTGGCTTGGCAGCGAAGACTGCTGTGCGAGTACTCTCTGTATATTAAACCAGAAGCTAGTAACCCTATGTGTACATATATACTAGTTAGGGAAATTCCAATTAATTCAGGGTCCCCCAAGATGTAGTTTGGGGAATACTAACCTAATTTACCTACTTGCAGGAATCTTTTCTTCTCAGCGCATGGCATCTGAGAGAGAGAGAGAGAGAGACAGAGAGAGAGAGAGAGAGAGAGAGAGAAAGGAATCTAGATGGCCTGGGTAGAATCAGAGGATTTCTAGCTAATATAGACTTCACTAACCAAGTCAGTCTGTTCTAGTTTGTGCATGGAGGCAAGAATTTCCTGCATTGTGGTTGATTTTCAAAAGAAGTATATTATTGGGTGCTTGTGAGAACAAGCCTCGAAGAGTCACGTGTTGTGTGTCAAGAGTGATTGCCAGAGTGAGCATCAAGTTCTCACAATACCATTTTTCACGATTTTAATGTCGCCCACCTTTCCCCTCCCCACCAGCAAGCAAATAATATAATTCATTGTTACAAATATACAACGTCTTAAAACCAACAACAACGTTTATTAGAGGAAGCCTTGCGAAGCCAAATACAATGTTTGCAGCTTTCATGGAGACCCACATACGTACAAGACTACTTTGACAGCGGTAAATATATATCTTTAATTATACTCTGGAATGTAAGGCGAGAAAGGGCACATAATTTACACCTGGAAAATTCTGGAGGGATTGGTCCCAAATCTTCACACTAAAATTACTTCCTATGAGAGGAAGAGACTTGGCAGACGATGCAACAATACCTGCAGTAAAAAGCAGGGATGCAATAAATACACTAAGAGATAACACAAGAATACAAAGCCCAAGACTTTTCAACATCCCCCTTTCACATGTAAGCAGAATTATCAACAGACCTCTTGCTCTCTTCAAGAGAAACTGGATATACGTATTCAGTTAACTCCTCAGCAGCCAAGCTGTGATGTATTCGTTGAACTGTGCGCAGCTAGAACTAACAGCCTGGTTGATTAACCAGCACCAACAGCCTGGATGATTAGGCTATCCACCAGGAAGCCTAATCAACCTGAAGATAATTCAGAGGGCGGTAACCCCTAGAATTATCATGTAACCTTCAGGTACGTATATACACCTCTCGGTGTATATTCCTGTTTCAGGGATTAGAGTATCTTCGGTGTTCACCAGGATACATGCAGTCTTAATCCTAATGGAATGGATAAATTTTAAATCCAACTAACGAACTATTAATTAAAAAGTTGTCTGAAATTTTAGGACCTATTCTGGCAATGGGTCTCCAGTGGACTTGTAGAAACAACATGCTGAGGGAAGTAAATTGTGGCTCAAATGATAGTGCCTTTAGGCCACACCTGAGGGGCCTGGGTCTTATCTTTTCATGAGAGGAAACGTTTGTGGTGGTAATACAGATCAGTGAAAGTTACAGGGGCCCGGAACAACGTGTGAGAGCACAGGTATGTGTGCAGTAGAGATGACCATGTCATCAGTCGAAGTGCTCTGCATAACTATGGTCTTCCTGTATGCACAACCAAATGTCACCCATCACTGTACAAACGCTGTATTATGCAGTCTAATATAAGCAAGATTCATCAGTAGCGAGGATGGTGTGTAAATTTACCGAGACCAAAAATTCCATCGTCGCGTTTGTATGTAAATAATTTGATGCCCTTAACATCCTTCCACTCAAACCAAAATAGTGTACAAATCAAAGGACTAATATACTAATTGATAGATGTAAACCTTAAGACCAATTAGGTAGGCTTAAACTGTTAGTAATACTATTATAATTAGTAACGTAGCCTTAAACATTAATGTTAGGTTGTACTAGGTAGGTAATGAGAATACAGATACAATGTTAACTAGGAATTCCTTCTTTAAACTCAGGAGATAAGGCAGCTTGCTGGAGGAAGATTTCTTCTGAAAACAGCCAGCGGTCGATCAACATCTCTAGGGAGCTACCAGCTAAGTCACCATACTGTCTTCAAAACACTGCCTGGTGACCAACGATAAAGTTCGGAGAGGCTTTCACGAAGTACTATGGATATTTGCCTCTTCCCAGTGCCCCCGTAGTAAGGCAATTTCTTGCTTTTCTCCTAGTGTCAATAGGTCAACCGTATTCTGGGAAACTTAAAACATTTGTGCTTCAGGTTATCTGTAGGTGTACTCCCAATACAGAGGTTCAAGTTCTGAGTAACTTCCTTTTGAACATTAGACGGGAAGCTAGTATCCCTTTGTGTACATAAATATTAGTTAGAGAAAACCCAATGAATTCAAGGTGTAGGCTGGGGATACTAACCTAATTTAAAGTACTTGCAGAAATCATTTCTCCTGAGCACATTGCGTCTAGGAGAAAGAAGCTAATAGGACCCTAGACTAGCCTGGGAGAAATCAGGGGGTTTCTAGCTAGTACAGACTCCACAAATAAAGTCCGTGCATGCAGATAGGAATTTCCCTCAGTGTAGCTAATTCTCTAAAGAAGTGCACCTTAGGGGTTACTTGTGAGAAAGGGACTCAAGGAGTCTTGTGCTCTATGTGTCAACAGTAATTCAGCCAGATCGAGCATCTCAAGTTCCCACAGATGGCTTACACAAAGGAAAGTCACTGTAAGGGATGACGAATCAATATAAGTGTGTTTAGTCAATGGAGTTCTACTGGGATCAGTGTTGGGCCCTCTATTGTTCCCAGTCTATATTAATAACTTTATTACTGAAATCAGCTCGTCACAAATGGTGATTTCTGAAATCTGTGGTTATTGCAACCACCAACACTACCGCCCACAACACCGGGAACTTTATTACAACACCACTACTATCAACACCACCACTATCAACACCACCACTATCAGCACCACCATCACCAGGGAGGTTAGTACTCACTCTCTCACAGCTTGGATAACAGAGCGTGCGAAAACGGACAAAATATGTTGTGTCAAGTTTTGGCTTAATTACATCTACTGCACCAAGACACTGATGAGCAGTGACCCGACCCTCGGCACTAAACTTCACC